TTCTCTAAAGTTATCCATGATCATAAATTTAGTTTATCAACCATTTAAGTAGATAGCGTGCGCATCATCGTGAAAGTGAACATCTTTAAATGAACCTGATGAAGTTTCAGAACATTATAAGCATCTGCTGCAGACATGTTACTCTTCGGAATGTCAGGAGATCTGTTATTTTTTTTGCCTTTGCTGTTGTTTTCGATTTTTTCTAGTGTTTGTCTTTTTTTTTGTGTTTGTCTTTGTTGTTTTCTTGTCTTTGTTGTTTTTGATTTTATTCGGGAGAGATTTATAGTCCTAACTCAAATCATTGTTTATAAAGAGAAGTCTTAAGTGAAATGCCTCCCATTAGAGGCCTGATAAACTTTTGTCGACCTTCTTGGTGTGTTTACAACATTATTAGATATATAAACACTTGAAGTTTATGTTAAATAAATGAAGAATGTTTACGTAATTACAGGAGGAAATGATTTTGTTTGAGGACTTCGCCGATCGGTGTCAGAACATCATAGGCCAATTTCGTAAGGAAGAAGTAAAGAAAAGAACAGAAGCCATCTTTCAGTTGGCAGTTGCCTTCGAAAAACTTGTTCTTGAGTACAGCAAGTACCACCTAAGTGAGACAAAACCTTCCAAAAGGATGAGTGATCAAAAAATGGGTGAGTGATAACACAACATCTTTTTAAATCTGTGCTACTTTTGTTAATTGGATATTTTGCTTCATGATCATTGTTCGCTGTTTGATTCTTGACAGTCATTCACCAAGGTGGAGGTCAATATCTGCCACTATTCACTGACACCGAAGTGAAGAGATATTATAGTATATATCACACAGATACCGAAATAATGGTTAGAAATTAAACTCTTGACGCTCAGTTTGGTCTCTTCGGCTGCTCAAAGGTGAATAGTACTTGCCATTCACTTCCGAACTTGCCATTAGCGCGCTCGAAGAACACACTTCACTTGTGTAGTTTAAGCTAATTAACCATTATTCCACGAGCGCGCGTTGGATATGAGATGATAGATAGCCAACCAAGCGCGTAGCGCCGAGTTGGCTATAATCATCTCTTATCCAACAAGCGCGAGTGGAATAGTTGTTTTATTAAAAACATTAAATTAAATTAAATTTTATTCACTTTTTAGCTCCCTTTTAATTTTAATCTGACACGTACGCTTGCCATATTTGTAGATTATGGTATATTGGCTGATATACCATAATGGCTAAGCCAATAAAAAGTCTTGAATTGCATTATCCAATGATCTAGTTTTTAATAATTAAGGATATCTGTAGTTAAAACCTACCCATTAATTTTGGCGCGATTTTAATGGTCACGTTACGTCACGTGGTGCAAAATCACAGGACACTTATCACGCAATAACCCCCGTCCGCCTCAATATTTGTCCTCCGATTTTTTCCGTGAAAAAGAAGCATAGTCAACACAAAAGTTTCAACTTTTCTGTTCTCCTTTTTACATGGATGGAAACGAAACTGGTTTTTTTTAGTCTAGCGATAGTCAATCACGCGCATTTGCCATCAGATCACCACTGGCTTTTTTGCTGAGTTTACGCGCAGTTTAATTGCGATGTGAAGATTAATGGGAGGGTTATAAAATAAATAAACCCCGTTCTGGCTTGCTGGTATGTCGGATGATAATGTCCTTGGCTGAGAGATTGTCCTCAAAATCTCATGTTTGCCCTCGTATTTTCGCTTCTCGGCCAAATATTCATTTTTTGGACAATCTCTCAGCCGCGGGCATTATCAGCCGATATACCAGCCGTCCCAAGGGGGTTAGGTACTAAATATTAATAAATGAGAGTCACATTGACTAACGTAATTTTCAATTGCACTTACCTCTTGTTTTAACTTTCTGAGTTACTTTTTGAGGAGTATCAAATAACAAAATGTTTTAGGCCACGTTCCAATCTTTTTTTTTTTAAAAATTAGTACCACAAAATCTATTTTTAAATCAATTTTTGCGGAAAAACCAAAAATGATTTCAGAGTGAGAGATTGCAAAGAAATAACTAGTTATTTATATCCAAAAGGTCGTGACCGGGGTCTTTGCTTAGAAGTTTCGCCCAGCCGGAAAGGAGATACAGTTTTGAAAAATAGAGTCCTAAAGTGTGACGTCACGTTGCCATGACAGCATTTTTTTCTGGTCTAAACAGTTTAAACTCATACTTCAAACATGGCGTCTTTATCGATATGCTCACTCGTTTCTTTCTTTTCTGGAGAGCGGAAATCGCTTGATCGCGGAGAAAACCACTTCAAATCCGACCATGTCCAAAGCTTTATTTATTCCAGGGGAGTCATCAAAGGTGAAGTCCAAGCAAGCATGAAAAATAAGGACTACAAAGTCACAGTAAGTTGCCAATTTGGGATCACAACACGTATGTTCAATTCGAAGAACTCCCAACCCCGATTTCACCTCCAATTTAATGTTTATATTGCGGAATATATATTGCAACTTACGTGTCTGTTTCGAATTATCTTTTTATCAGATTTATCTCGATGAAAACCTTGAAATAAAAAACACAGAATGCGAGTGTCCTCGCGGCGAGTTCAAGTGCAGTCACGCGGCAGCCATATTTATTTATGGCATCCATAACCTTAGCAGGACGGACCTGGAATGCCAATGGAAACGAAAGCGAAAGGCAGAAAGCGTACAGTCTGCAAGCCAGATGTTTCCAGCGCCACCGAAGAAGAAGGATTACAGCCCTTTGGCGCGCGATCCTAGCCGAGAAGATCGGATGTGGCTGTACAGCGAACTAAAGCGCTATGGCAAATTTACAGGGACCTGCTGGATCTTGAGTCCCGAACCACAACCTGCTACCCCTCTCCCGATCAAGACGATTGAGGATATCATTTACTCAGAAGGTTTCCTTATGGCATCTACGAAGGAAAAACAATTAGAGTACTTGATTGAGAATGCCAAAGTAGAGGAGAGAACCATAAATGTTGTGAGCACCCTCACGGCTGGCCAGCGAAACAGCCCTGCATGGCACCAAGCTCGTAGAGGCCGCCTGACTGCCAGTAATTTTGGCTCCGTCCTCCAGGCAAAAAGAGTTACACCGTCTCTTATCAAGCGACTACTTGGGGAATACAACTTGAGTGGAGTTAAAGCAATTGCATGGGGACAGGACAATGAGACTGAGGCCCTGAAATCCTTCACCAACATCACAAACTTTACACCTGTACAGACCGGCCTTTGGCTACACGAGTCGGGAGTTCTGGGTGCTTCCCCTGATGGACTTGTGGGAGACGACTCGGTGATTGAGTGTAAGTGCCCCTACACACATCGAAATGCGACAATCAAGGAAGCTTGTGGGCACAAAGACTTTTACTTGGAGGAGAAGGAAGGGAATTATACGCTGTCTACCACACATGTTTACTGGCATCAGTGTCAAGGCCAGATGTTCCTGACAAAGCGCAAATTCTGCTACTTTGTTGTATGGACCACAAAGGATAGTGTAGTTATCAAGATTGAACGAGATGAATCTTGGGAGCACAATATTACTATCTTGAGTGATTTTTACTTTCATCAACTATTCCCAAAGATTACCGAGGGAGAACTTTGAAAAGTGGTGCACAGATGCTGGACATAATCAGAGTGGGGGGGGG